TTTTCAAGACAGGGTTTCTCTGTGGCTTTGGAGCCTGTCCTGGAACTAGCTCTTGTAGACCAGGCTGGTCTCGAACTCACAGAGATCCGCCTGTCTCTGCCTCCCGAGTGCTGGGATTAAAGGCGTGCACCACCATCGCCCGGCTCCGTGCCTTCTTTTTGACCTCTTCATGCACCAAACTTGCACAGACACACAGACATACATACAGATGACAAGATACTCAGACACATAAAATAATATTAATAATAAAATATATGTAGACCATCACCTTAAAAAGGAAGAAAGAAGCTCTACCGCAAAGGAGAAAGTAGATAAGTCATCAACAAAGACTCTTAGCATCACTCTGTGGCCTCCACACACATATGCAACACATGCGTGCTCTCTTGCACGTGACCATGTGTGCATACATACATACATAGATACATATGTGAAAAGAGAAAAAAATAATTGAATTTTGTCAGGCAACAAAAGCTTAAAAGCAAATTTCACACAAACGCATTGATGGAGGAGTGTGACACTTAGAAGAACTGAGATAGAGGCAGTGTGTATAGAGCCTGCGGACCAGCAGCTAGGCGCCATCATTCCCAGCATCAGAGAAAGGAAAGAAAACCTGAGTTTGGGTATTAAAAATGTTGTTTCTAGAACATAATAGAAATACACTGAACTAATTGGAACAGATTGGAAAGGGTGTGACTTTATCATAGGTTCTACTGCATTGATAATAAATGCTAGTTTGTTGGAGTTTTTTTTCCAGTAGTTTTATGGCTTTTGTCTTTAGTGGTAGGAATTGAACCCATGACCTTGTATATACTAAGCATGCCTCTACCTCTGGGCTACAGCAGCCAGTTTCTTATTAGTTTTCACCAAAGACAAGAAATTGGGGGTAAAAATCATTTTATAGGTAAACTAAAACATCTGCCTGGGAAAGTGAGAGAACTGGCCAGCCCCATCGCCATGTTGTCCCTTACATCTATCTTTTCTTGTGAGGAAATTGTTTGTATCCACAGACAGATGAAAAAGGTGATTTGAGGATTGAAGAGCTTTACGGGCCTGGGGACTGGACCAGTGACTCACCAATGACGAACTCTTGTTCCTTGCTTTTCAGAGGGCTCAGCTTCTATTACCAGCAGCCCCTCAGGCAGCTCATAGCTCTATGTAACTCCATCTCTAGGGGATTTGACACTGTATTCTGACTCCATAAACACCTGTGCACATTTTGCACATTCATACAGACAACACACACACATGAAAAGAATTAAATATAGAAGCAAGAACCCTGTGGTGTTAGAATGAAAGGGCAGGCATATCTAGACCATTGGTTACTAAACATGGGACTACAGGTTTGTGTCAAGTTCTCTTTGTAATAATCATTTAGGAGGGGCTAGCAAGGTGTCTCAGAGGTTAAAAGCACTGATGCTCTTCTAGAGGACCTGATTTCAATTCAAAACCATCTGTAACTTAGTTCCAGGGAATCCAAAGCTACTAGGCACCCACATGGTACACAGACACACTTGTAGACAAAACACCCAAACATATAAAATAAATAGAATCAATCTTTAAAAAGATTCACCTAAGAGCTTGTTAAAAATTCACTTCCAGGCACTGGAAAGATAGATTAGAAGTTGGGGGCACTGGCTGCTCTTCCAGAGGACCCAGATTCGGTTCCCAGCCCCACCCCCCATGGTGGTTCACAATTGTCTGTGACTCCAGTTTTAGGTGGTCTGACACCCTCATACAGACATACATGCAGGCAAATTCCCAGTGCACATTAAATAAATAAATCTTTTTAAAAAATTCACTTTCAGTCCTGTGTATTAGATTCTGATTCAGCAGGATTGAGAGACTCAGAAATGCTTACTCTTTTGAAAACATTTTATAATTCTGAGGGATTTTTCCGTTTTTCTGATTTTTCTGTTTTGAAGGTAAGAAACTAAGTCACATGAAGGACATTGTTTCTCAAAGTCACAGAGCAAGGTAGTGGCAGAACTTTAGTAGAGATCTAATTCTTCATGTTCAGCCGAGTACTCCCTGCTATGGGGAATTAGTGGAAGGTAGGTGAGGACGGTGATGCTGTTGGATGGGAAGAATGCACAGTAGAAGTTTGGTTGAGGGTGCCTGGGAGCTGAACTCATGGGAGAGTATTTGTCATTGCTTACAGCACGGGAGAGGTGCTTTCTGCTATGGAAATGCTGGTGAAAAGAGAACAGTTTCTGAATGCTGGAGCAGAGTAGTGGCCAGGGCCCCACTCAGGCCTGGCTGGAGCTCAGGGACCGCACAGAGCAGATCCAGTATCCACTGCATCCCTTTGCATTCCGGGAGGCACTCTCCGGAGACTAGTGTCCTACAGCTGCTGTTGTGTTATTGGCTGTCAGGTTTCCTGCTTGTTTCCTCTTTCTTGTATGCATTATCTTCCCTCTGTGTTTCTGTCATAGATGGAGACAGACGCCCCTGGACTATTCAGAAGTTTTCCCCCTGATTGCACTGCTTTTTTGTATCCATAACCAAAGCACTAAATATCAGTTGCACTATATTCCGTTATGTTCAAACTCTTAGGTTCTCATTAACTACTCTTTCTTTTCTAAATTATCAGCAGGTCCTTTGAGTTAACTCCTGTTAAATCCATCCGCTTCATCTTTAGTACTGTTTGTTTTGGGGTTCCCACGTGTTTATTATTTTGTAGGTATAGTGGTATGCTCTTACTTTATGTACAAATCTTTTTTTCAGGGAAAATGATAGAGTCTTGGGAAAATTTCTTACATAAACTCCTTTTTAAATTTTAAACAGAATACAGGTGCCTATTAAATATGTGTAGCTGGTTGATTTCTTTGCCTCCGTATAACCTGACTCACAACTAAAATAGCATAATTTATTCTGGCTATAAATGGCTGGGCATCTAAAGGTGTTTGGAAGGCAAGTGAGAGGAAGCAGGTTTCCTAGAGTGTCGGAGTCTGGTGCCCCAACATAAACTAACTGTCTCTCTGGACCGGCGTGGAGGCTCGGAAATAACTGAGACACAGTTCACACAGCAATATCAGAAGGGAGTCTCAGGGTTCATCCAAATCCTGAAGATCACCTGCATTTATTTTCCAAACATCTTTCATCCCCCAAGATAAACTGAGGGCAAAGTTCATTAGCATCCTGTTTCTGGGGTCGTAGGACTAAAGTCACATCCGCAGCTCTGTCACTAGCTTGGAACTGACACCTCTTCTTGGGCTATCTTCATAATTACAAAGAAAGGATCAGCACAACACCAGCATATCCTGAGCTCCGGAGACAGCCAGTCTGAAGATGCTTTTAGCACCTCTGTTGCTATTGTGGCTTGAGAGACTGGCTGCTGATGCAGAAATATGTGGGCTGTATAAATTTTTGCCCCACACTAGAGGAAGTGAGAATAATAAGGTTGCACAGTGGCACTTTGCTTATCTGGTTCTGTAGTTCAGATGAGGGTGCCTGAGTATTAACCGCTGCTTACACTTGTGTACAGTTTCATTTTACTTTGGATCTCTGTCTGCCATAGTTACTTTTCCCTCCAAGCCACACACCCTCTTGGATTTGATGATGTTGTCCGATTAGAAATTGAGTCCAATATCTGCAGGGAAGGTGGGCCGCTTCCTAACTGTTTCACGACTCCATTACGTCAGGCCTGGACAACGATGGAGAAGGTAACTAGATCTTCAAATAGTAAACTACAGGAGTTTTACTTGTGGAGCCTGAAAATGCATTGTATAGCACAACAGTGGGAAACTGAAGTGGTATAGCATAGTGATTAAGAGATTTGCACCAAACCGGGCAGTGGTGGCGCACGCCTTTAATCCCAGCACTTGGGAGGCAGAGGCAGGTTGATCTCTGTGAGTTCGAGACCAGCCTGGTCTACAAGAGCTAGTTCCAGGACAGGCTCCAAAACCACAGAGAAACCCTGTCTCGAAAAAAAAAATAAAATAAAAATAAAAGTGATTGTGTCTGTAACTCAGTGGTACTGGCTTGACTGTCATGTGAGAGATCCTGGGTTCCATCCTCAGGACTTTTGGGAGAAGGAGGACAAAATAGCTCTTAATAAAAGTTGATTGGTAAGGAATTTGTACTAGGGTTTTTTGTTTTGTTTTGTTTTTGTTTTTTTCAGCGGTATGGGGGCATTGGAGACCCTTCAAGACAGAGTTTGATTATGAAGCCCAGGTTAGCTGTGAACTCATGATCTTCTTGCCTTCACCTTCCAAGTGCTGGTTATAAACATGAGCCACTGTGCCCCAACTACCCTGCCCTAATATTAACAGTAGCGGACTAGCAGGTAGCTAAAGGATATGAAGACATGAGTGATGCATTCAGCAAACACTTTTGAGTATTTCTACACTGGTTGTTGTTGGTGGTAAACCAATGGGGCTTTTGACCTTTGACACTTAGGTCTAAGAGAAGACATTTCATTAGACAGACATATCCACAGTTGTGCTAAGTGCTGTGAAAGCCGTTGGTAGTGGAAAATAAAAATGATAAACATGAGTACTTATTCAGTATATTCAACCCATTAATAATTCCTAATGACTGTAAAAACATGCTCCAATTAGCATTTATTCAACAAGTGTCCTTAGTTACTTGGAAACAGATAAAAAATTAGCATTGGGAAGCTTGTACAGATAATTTGATGTGTTGCAAGTGATATACAATGATAACATCCTTTTGATATTCACCATATATTTGAAGGCTAGAATTCAACTTAGAAGTCATATTCCTTGTAATTTTTTGTTTACTCATTTGGGGGGTTATTTTGGTTTGGTTTGGTTTGGTTTGGTTTGGTTTGGTTTGGTTTGGTTTGGTTTTTTGAGACAGGGTTTCTCTGTGTAACAGCTCTGGTTGTCCTGAAACTTACTTGGTAGTCCAGGCTTGCTTCTAACTCACTGAGATCCGCCTGCCTCTGCCTCCCGAGTACTAGGATTAAAGGCGTGCACTTCTGCCTCCTGACCCCTTTGTAATTTTTTTTCTTTTTTTTTTTTTCCGACCCTAGCCCACCCAACATGTAGGAACCAATAAAAAGCTTGTTGCTACGGCCTTTGTAATTTTTTTAAAGGAGTTTTTAGTTTTAGTTTTCATGTCTGTGTATAAGTTTGGATACCTGGGTGAAGGTGCCCATGGAGGTCAGAGGTGTTCTGTCCTCTTGGAGCTGAAGTTACTGACGTGACTGTTAATGAGAGACTTGTAGGTAAAGCTTTTAAAGTTAAGTACTAGATGTGTTTGGTTTTCATTTTTAAAATGCTGTTCCTCTTTCAGGTCTTTTTGCCTGGTTTTCTGTCCAGCAATCTTTATTACAAATATTTGAATGACCTCATCCATTCAGTTCGAGGAGATGAATTTCTCGGAGGAAACATTTCACTGGCTGCTCACGGCTCTGCCTGCCTTCCTGAGGAGTCTCACTCAGGTGGTTCCGATGTCTCCTCTGCTCAGGTATCAGCTAATGTCAGTCTTTCAATGAGAAGGAAGGCATACAGAGCCTTTCCTTCGAATGCCAGCAGCTGATCCCATTGATATGTTTTAAGTAGTAGACACAAGAAAGTAAAATTAACTTGCTTGTAAATTCTAGTCAAACTGCCAGTTGTGATTAGGCTTATGTAATACTGTATCATGCTCTTTCACTAAAGCTTCCGTCTGCTTGGCAACATGGCTTTTCATTTTAGTAGCCAAGTGTGTTTGTATTCGTGCACAGCAGTGTGCCTGACATGTGTGCAGAGGCCAGAGGTCAGCCTTGGATGTTAATCCTCGGGCCTTGGTTTTGGGACAGAATCTTTTACTAGCTCAGGACTTATTATTAGGTTAGGCTAACTGGCCAGCAAGGTGCCTGTCTCCACCTCCCCAGATGCCATGACCTCTGCATGGCTTTCAGATTGACCTGACTGTGTTGACATTGACAGTAACATATACAGAAAAACTGGGATCGGGTAGGCATACACTCTGATGGAGGTACATTAGCAGCTCTGAAATTCAGTGTACTTGTTATATAAAGCTGAATTTAAGTAGGGGCCTTTTGGGGGAGCCGTCTCAGGCTGCAGTCATCCAGGAGTAAGCAGCAGTGGTTGATGTTTTCTGCAGCACCTGTCAATATCTGTACTTAGACCAAGGGAAGGCCTTGCCATCCCATGGTTCTGAGGACTGGGGTCCTTGATATGACTGTGCTCATGTCGACAATACACATTCACACAGGATTTCCACTCAGGACTTCATCTGTCCCTCACATCCCAGGGGCTGGGATTATAGGCATTTCACCATTCCCAGACTCTGTGGGTCTGGTGCTGTGGATCTTAGGTTTTCATGCTTGTATGATAAGCACTTTTCTATCTCTTCAGCCCAGTAAGAAGTATTTTGAACTACGTTTAGTTCAAAACTGAAGAGCTCTTTTATAATTATTTGAGAAATTTTAATAATTAAATTTAGGATACTTTTTGTTACTAGTGAACTCAGATTGTTTTGATTTATTGAAAATGTTGTATTTCGGATGGGTGTGTGAGTGCAGATCCACACGTGTCACAGTGAGTGTGGGAACCAGACTGCAGTAGTCAGTTCTCTCCTTCCACTCTGGGTTCCAGGTGGAGAATACACGTCCTCCCTCGGGCTTGCTCTTCTTGCGAGCACACTTACCGCTCAGCTGTCTCGTTGTCTTGAACAAAGGTCTCTTATGGTTTTCTGGTTGGTTGGTTGGTTGGTTGGTTGGTTGGTTGGTTTTGGTTTTTCGAGACAGAATTTCTCAGAAGCTATGGAGCTAGTCCTGGAACTCTAGACCAGGCTGGCCTTGAACTCACAGAAATCCACTTGCTTCTTCCTCCTGAGTGCTGGGATTAAAGACTTAAGCCACCACCACCCAGCTCTTACACGTTTTTTTCTTACCGATTTTGAGTTTGTTTTGGACTAGAATACTGTTATACCTTCCTTTTTGTTTGTTTTTTGAGCTGTTTTTTTTTTAATATTAGATAGCATACCTTACCTGATTCCCCTAAAATCATAAGAAGTAGCATATGTCCAAGACAGCAAATCAAAAGACACTAAGAAGTTAACTGAGGGTCAGAAGGTAAGTTCATTCAGAAAATGCACTTGTCATGCAACCTGAGTTCAAGTCACATAACTTGGAAGGAAAAGAACATATTCCACAAAGTTCTTTGGCCTTCATATGCACATGGTGGCACATGTTGCCCACCCCCACATCATGCAACCATGGACATGAACAATAATTTCTTAAATTAACTGATTTTTAAAATTTCTGTACTCTGTGAAATTTCACCGTATATATTAATCAAAGTCCTACCCATTATCTTCCCACCCCTTAATGCCTTGTAAAGTTGTGTCTTTTAAATTTTTATTTTTGAGACAGTGTTACTATGTTGTAGTAAGGAGGCCGCTTGTTGGTTACCAGCCGCTTAACCCCAAAATAATCACACAGAAACTGTATTAAATCACTGCTTGGCCCATTAGCTCTAGCTTCTTATTGGCTAACGCTTACATCTTAATTTAATCCATTTCTATTGATCTGTGTATCACCACATGGCTGTGTGGCTTACCCGGTAAAGTTCCATCCAGCAGAGGCTAGGCTTCTCTCTGACTCTGCCCTTCTTTCTTACAACATTCAATCCAGTCTTCTCTGCCTAACTCTGCTCCTCCCTGCCCTGCTCTGCCATAGGCTCAAAGCAGTTCTTTATTCATTAATGGTAATCACAGCATACGAGGGAAATCCCACATTACTACGTAGCCCTGGTTTTCCAGGACTTGAATGTGTAGACCAGGTTGACCTCAAACTCTCAGATCCACTTACTGCCTCCTGAGTGCTGGGAGTAAAGGCATTCACCACCACACCCAGCTCCATTCTTACCACCTTTTCCTCCCCTCCCAGATAATTTTGTAAGCAAGTGTGTTTGTATGTGTGTGCACAGGGGCTAGAGGTCAGCTGTGGATGTTATTCCTCAGACATTACTATGTGAGTGTCGAGGAAACTGCTCATTGGTTAAGAGCACTCGCTGCTCTTGTAGAGAACCAGCTTGATTGCCAACACACACATCAGAAAGTTTAAAACTGGCTGTAAGTCCAGCGCCAGAGGCTCTGATTCCCTCTTCTGGCCTCTGTGGGCACTCTCAACACACATACGTATGAATGAATGAATGACTGAATTAATTAATTAAATCTTTTTTAAAAAGTGATGGGACATGGTGACACATACTAACTTTAATCCCAGCACATAGGAGGCAGAGGCAGGCAATCTCTGTAAGTTCCAGGACAGCCAGGGCTACATAGTGAGATCCTGTCTTTCTTTTTTGTTGTTGTTTTGTGTTTTTTTGTTTTTTTGAGACAGTTTCTGGGTAACAGCCCTGGCTGCCCTGGAACTTGCTTTGTAGACCAGGCTGGCCTCAAACTCACAGAGATCCACCTACCTCTGCTCATCCCCATCCCCCCACCTCTCCCCAACCTGCCAAGTGCTAGAATTAAAGGCATGAGAGCCTGTCTTTTGTTTTTCGATACAGGGGTTCTCTGTAGCTTTGTTTGGAGCCAGTTCTGGAACTAGCTCTTGTAGACCAGGCTGGTCTCAAACTCACAGAGATCTGCCTGCCTTTGCCTCCTGACTGCTAAGATTAAAGGTATGCGCCACCATCGCCCAGCTAAAGATAGGTTGCATTTGCTTTGGGTTTTTGTTGTTGTTGTTATTTTGTTTTTGTTTGTTTTTTTTTGTTGTTGTTGTTATTGTTTCAAGACAGGGTTATTATATGTAGCAGCGGTAACTGTCCTGGAACTAGCTCTTGTAGAACAGAACTCAAACTCAGAGAGATCTGCCTGCTTCCACCTCCCAAGTGCTGGGATTAGAGGTGTGTACCACAACTGTCCAAGAGCCTGTCTTAAACAAACAAACTTGGAGAGATGGCTCTATGGTTAAGAACACTTACTGACTGCTCTTCCAAAGGATCCATATTGAGTTCTCAGCACCTATGTGGTGGCTCACAACAGTCTGTAACTCCAGTTCCGGGGGGCTCTGACACCCTCTTCTGGCCTCCAAGGACACTAGGCAGGCATGTGGTACATAGAGTACATACATGCAGGCATTTACGTTTAAAGATAAGTCATTGCCAAATCTAAAGTAATGAAGACTTGCAAATTACCATTTTCCTCTAGAATTTAAGTTTTTGGCCCATTTTAAAGTTGGTTTTATATATGGTGTAAGATAAATGGTTAACTTCATTCTCTTATTTGTAGAAAATAATGACTGTAAATTATTATTATGATGATAAGCTCTTACTATTTAGCTCTGGCTGGCCTAGAACTTGATATGTAGACCAAGCTGGCCTTGAACTCAAAGATCACTTACCAGTGCACGACCACACCCAGTACCCAACTTCATTCTCTTTCCACTAGACATCCACACTTCTCAGCAACATTCCTCAAATACAAAAGAGAAGAACAAAAAACCCTTGGTTTTTTGGTACTGTATTGTTTTAATTAATATCCTTTTCAAAAATCAATTGACTGGGGCTGGAGAGATGGCTCAGTGGTTAAGAGCATTGCCTGCTCTTCCAAAGGTCCTGAGTTCAATTCCCGGCAACCACATGGTGGCTCACAACCATCTGTAAAGAGGTCTGGTACCCTCTTCTGGCCTGCAGACATGCACACAGAATATTGTATACATAATAAATAAATAGATATTTTAAAAAAAAATCAATTGGCTGAACTTGAGGAGTGGCTCAGTGGTTAGGAGCACTGGCTGCTATCCTGAAGAACCAGGGGTTCAATTCCTAGCACCCACATAGTGACTCTCACAGCCATCTGTAACTCTAGTTCCAAGACATCCTATGCCCTCTTCTGATTTTCTTGGGCACTGCATGCACATGGTGCATTGACATACATACCAGCAAAACATAAATTAAAAAGAAATTTTAAAAAATGAGTTGATCAAGTCTAGTCTGTTGAATGTCTGTGCTTGCGTCAATCCCACTGTTGCTGTTGTTTATGTATGTGGAGATGGGAGGTGTGTTTGGACGTGACGTAGCTTGCTTGTGGAAGTCAGGACAGCTTGTGGAAGTTGTTTCTTTCTCCCATATCAGTCCTGAGGCTTGAACTTAGGTTGTCAGGCTTGGCAGCAAGCCCTGTTACCCACTGATCCATCTCACTTGCTCTAGTTCTATTGGCTTTAATTCTCTGGCTTCGGTATGTTAGGATATATGCGTCTTCTTTTAACTGTGGTGAGTTTGGAGTAGTTTGCTTTGGGATTTTTTGAGACATGGTCTCCCTGTTGTAGCACATCGTGACCTCAAACTCTCCATTTTAGTCCTTGGGCCCTGAGGGGTTTTCTGTTGATGGTCTTACAGTTGGAGTATGTTAGTTGCCTGTCTTTCTCATTGCTGTACCATATCTAACAAAAGTAACTTAAAAAAGGAGCGGTTTATCTTGGTTCTTGGTTCTTGAGTACTTCTGTCAGCTCAGTGCAGTTGGGCATACTGCTACCAGTGCCTTCTAGACACCACAGTGACATATTCCTCTAATATACTCCAGTGCCCCTTTCTTAGTTACATATTTTGAGGCCTTTTTTCTCAGCATATGACCTATTCAGTTATTTTATTTAATCCATCTCTTAGTTACAGATTAGGTTTACTCTTCCCATTTGGCATTTTAAACAATGCTCCAGTGACTGATGTTAACTGTAAGTCATTTTGCACACATGTGAGCTTATCCATAACAGCTCTGTGTGCAGGGTGTCACCTGTGTGACAGGGTTTCTCTGTAGAACAGGTTTGGTTGTCCTGGAGCTCACTCTGTAGACCAGCCTGGCCTCAACCTCACAGATTTCCGCTTGCCTCAGCCTCCGGAGTACTGGGATTAAAGGCGTGCACCGCCACCTGGCTATTATACCATTTCTAAGACTTGGAGTTCAGAGTCAACTCAATAGCTTTATATTTCAGAAAAATGCCAATTCTGGATTTTTTTTCTCTTTCTTTTTCATTTTTTATTTTGAAATTAGAATGCTGGAGAGGAACTGACTATACTTAATAGTCACTGTAGGTGTGGTTCTTTTTTTTTTTTTTTTTTTTTTTTTTTTTTTTTTTTTGGTTTTTCGAGACAGGGTTTCTCTGTGGCTTTGGAGCCTGTCCTGGAACTAGCTCTGTAGACCAGGCTGGCCTCCAACTCACAGAGATCCACCTGTCTCTGCCTCCCAAGTGCTGGGATTAAAGGCGTATGCCAACACCGCCTGGCTTTTTTGTTTGTTTTGTTTTTTGAGGCAGCAATTTTTTTGTTTTTTGGGGGGTTGGGTTGTTTGTTTGTTTTTCTAGACAGGGTTTCTCTGTAGCTTTGGGGCCTGTCCTGGAACTAGCTCTTGTAGACCAGGTTGGCCTCGAACTCACAGAGATTCACCTGGCACAAAACAAATTTTAAAGGAAGACTCTAGGGGTTTCTTGAGTTTTCAAGTCTGTCTACTTCTTGGCATGCTACTTAACCTATTAGTGTCTCATATTTAATACTGCAGCTCACTAAAGGGCATAAAGGAAGTCATACATGAAAAACACTTAAAACGGTGTCTACCATCTAGGAAGCATGTGGAATACATCCTCCCATCTTCTCTCCACTAATATGTATCAGATTGATGATTTCATAGTTACATGCTATGTTCTAGGCTGCCTGCTCTACACATTCCATGGGATTCACATTTTACCTATTTTATTTAGTCACCTGTTTTGAGACAGGGTCTCACTATGTAGTCTTGACTGGCTTGTAATTCAGTACATATACCAGGCTCACAGCGATCCGTTTGCCTCAGCTTCCCGAGTGCTGGGATTAAAGGCATGTGCCACCATGTAAGGCCATTTTAGCTATTTTAAAGTCTGGATCTTATAAACAAAAATAAACATAAAGTGAAAAGATGCTGATATTGCTTGTTTGTTATGTAGCTATTAGGAATGTACTTAGTGGGGTTTTGAGCCTAGAATAGAAAGACAACAGGATATTGATGGAGGAAGGTAATTGATTAATTATAATAAACCAACTGCTTGGCCTCATAGCTTAGAACATAGGTGGGTGGAATAAACAGAATAGAATTCTGGGCGGAAGAGGAAGTGAGGTCAGACTCTGCTCTGCTCCCGGAGAGACCGGACAGCTCTGCTCTTTGGAGCAGAGACACCAGGATGGACGGAGGCTACACTCTTCCCGGTAAGCGCACCTTGGGGTGCTTACACACATCATTAGAAATGGGCTAGTCCAGGTGCGAGAATTAGCCTGTAAGGGTTAGAGTTCATGGGCCAAGCAGTTCTGAAATGAATACAGTTTGTGTGTTGTTATTTCGGACATAAGCTAGCCAAGCGGCCAGGGTGTTGGGGACGCAGCCCCGCCGCTTCTTATTTCAACAGGATATTTCACTTACTGACATTTACTAGATAGATAAATATAAAGTAACTTCTTTCTTAAATGTGGTTTG